TTGCAAAAAGCACCGACTAGAGACATCGACATGAAATTTCAGAGTGCGGCTTTTTTTTTTGTCGCTGGGTGTATGTTCGTAGAAGTCGAGAGTAAATCTGTATGTATTTTGGGTCGCAAAACTTTGATTATAACCTTAAAATATAAATAGAAAATGAAAAAACGTGATATATTTTAAATTTTTTTAAGGTGCGCACTTTTTTACCCATACTCGAAGAGATAATGGGTATATTAAACTCTTGGACAGGTGTGTGTGGAAATCGATCTCGTTTATGTGACCACCGCGAGAACATTTGAAGCGACCTATATATTCGTTGGATCGAAATTTGCACTCGTGTTTTGTGTGATGCTATTTGTTCCGAATTTGACTGGGGGAATCATTCGAAATGATCAAAAGCTATAAACAAGTAATAATATATCTGGGGTTTTATGAATGCTAGGATTAATGCAAGTTTTTAATGAATACCACTTGATTAAGAACAGTTACTTAGGCGTTTTTTTTAACGCAGATTTTGGAAGCGAATCGTTCCGCAAAAATATTGTAAAATTAGTTTGTGGTATCTAGTTTATATTTTAGTCAAAATTGAGACCAACAGAATATTAACATCCGAAGCAAAAACAAAAATCTTTACATGTAGGGAGGCAAACCTTTCTTATAAGGAAATTATTAAAATAACACTACTTGACAAAATCGAACTTTTTTTTCCTCAAGGATCCAAATCAACTTTTTCTGATAGATATGGGAAGTAAAATTTTTTTAAAGAATTATGGTTTTTTTTTATGGCAGAAAATTTGTTTGAAGAATTTTTGAAAACTGGTAGTTTTTTAAAGCTTTTTTCAGAGGTAGCGATTCTTTTTTTCACATAACTCTAGTATTTTACGTTTGGTTGTAAATAAATTGGCTATTTTGAAAAGATAATTAAAACAGCTAAACAGCACAGGGTGGGAAATATAAAGTTTAAATTTCGTAAAAAATACCACACAAAAATCATAATTTTTGCATTTTAATGCTTTATTTTTCCCAGACGGTAAGCTGAAATCAAAAAGTGTTTGGTCTTAGCTTCTAGCTGTTTTAGGTATCTTTTCAAAATAGCAAAGTTTTTTACAACCAAACGTAAGATACTAGAGTTATGTGAAACGAGAAGGAACGTGTGAGTCGCTTCTGGGGACGCGACTCTACTTATACCCGTACTCAGTCAGTATATACATTTTTGAGCTTATGATTTTTTAGAATTTAAAAATTAAAAAAAAATATTTTACATTTTTTTGCTACATCTGTTCTCTACATCTACAATGTATATTTCACATCTAACATGTAGATTGTACATGTACCATTTAGATTCTACATCTCCTCCACTAGGGGTTGCTCGCGCACTGAACGCGCCAGAGTGTGCGAGCCAGAAAGAGAATCAGTAGCGTCATCAGCGCTGGAGAAGGAGAGGGAAACAACAGAAAATTAATTTCTTCATTCTGGCTATAATTATGATCCGATCTAGTTCAGATTCGACAATCTGGTAGATACGGACATTCTCTACGATACTGCGTTTTTAGTTTTATCGTGCCTGCCACAGATTTTCGTCCTTTGTGTGGGCGGAAGGGGAGGGGTCGAAATTTTGAAATACACTTGTAGCAGTGTGATATCACATGAGTCTGGAAACCAAATTTGGTTTCTCTAGCTCTTATAGTTTCTGAGATCTAGGCGCTCATCAAGACGGACAGACGGACATGGCTATATCGACTCGGCTATTGATGCTGATCAAGAATATATATACTTTATGGGGTCGGAAACGTTTCCTTCTCTGCGTTTCTCTGCATCCACTTTTACCACAAATCTAATATACCCCTTAACTCTTTTTTGAGTACGGCTATAAAAAAAAACCCTACCTCTGAAAAAAGCTTTAAAAAAATATAGTTTTCAAAAATTCTTTAAAAAAAGTTTCTGCAATAGAAAAAAAAATATCATCAAACATTTCTAAGCCCAAAATCTTTAAGAAAAAGTTGGGTTTGTTTCTTGAGGAAAACTCGTGTCGACTAGTGTAATCGGAAGGAGCTCTACTTTTGAGCTTAATTATGTTAAAAATAAAATAGAATATGTCAAAAACTAAAAGAGTCGCACTACCACCAGGCGGCGTACAAAATAAATTCAGATTTGGCAATTACCGAAACATTTCCAACAGGTTATTTAAGGAGCTACACATCTAAATAAACTCATACTAAAAAAAAAACACCACTTCATCTTCCCCTCCGCACTCCTACAATATGTCTTGTTGCCAGATTAAAATGGCAATATTTATTCAAAGTCGGCTGTGGGAAAATCCCGCGGGAGTATATCCAGGCAGGTCCACTACGCCAACTGCAAGCAGGAAATCTCTGGGCCAAAGATTACTGGAGGCACTAAAAAGCACTGCAATGGATATGGCCACATAATAGCTGATTGTCCTCAAGTGTTAAATAATGTAAAAAATTATTAAATAAAATACTTTACAGAATACCTTAAAGGCTCGTATTAGAGTTCAAAGATTAACGTTTTAAGCCCCAATTTTGACAGAAGGTGTTTCTTCAGATGTTGAAAGCTGCCATTGCGTTTTTGTTCCTTATTCTGGCGAGATTAGAGCCAAGGATGGCGCCGAGATATTTGCTTCTCTTGAAAACTCGGGTACATTTTACCAATTGTGGGTAGTTTAATACTCAGTAGACAGCAGTTTTTAGTTTTTTTAGACAGCAAGCACCAGTTCGGTTTTCAGATGATTCATCCCGTGCTCATCTTGCTGACGTGCAAAATCCAAAAGCACACTGATTGTGGCAGTATAAGAGATTACAGTATAGCTAGATGATTGGTATAGACCGTAACTTTGTTTCCGCACAACTTAAGCGGAAGTAGAAAGTTTTTGAGGACTAGGTTACACAGAAGTGGGGATATAACCTCTCCCCTACCTTTTGTGACCGTCACGGAAGACGAGGTAGAGCAAAGGTTTTCGTTATATTCCTGAGAACGATACCTGGATACCTGGTTACCATCGGGTGTGTGCCAAACTTGGTCCATGCGGATTTTACTGACTCGATCCTGACATTGTTGAAGGCTTCGTTTCTATAAAAAAACGAACCATCTAGGACGGCCCTTGAATCGCAATAATTTGCTCACTAGGGGTCAGGCAGAGAAGGGGCCTAAGCCCACGGCCCAAGGGCCGGGCAGTAGCAAGAATTGGGGGACTGATTCCTCCTCCTCCTCGGCTCGACAACTTCTACAGAAGTCATTGTGGGGGATTGACAGTCTGGAGGCATGTGCCGATGTGTGTGCACTGTATCCAGAGCATCGTCTGTATTAGCCAGAGCTATTAGCCTACCGGTAATACATAGCTCTGCCATGCGTTGAACTCGGTTGAGCTTTTGTAGACAGGGTCTTTTGTCAAGTGCTGGCTACTACTCCATATATCATGATTTGTCTTATGATTGCGGTGTAGAACCAACGAACTATTTACGGGGTCAGACTCAATTTTAGTCCTATGGTTTTCCTGCAGGTATAGATGGCCAATGTGGCCTTCTTTACTCTAACCTCTTGTAAGATACCTTTTTTCAGGCTGTCATATGCATCAGCCTGTCCAGGGTTCCTTTACAAGAAATTTGTAGATTTGCTGGAACTTAAGGTTCGGGGTTGGCCTTGTATGACCGAAAGAGTGGTAGGCAAGGTGGGAGAATTGATGACGCGGTAGCTTTTGTGGTTTTGTTTATTACACTACTCGACAAAATCGAACTTTTTGTTTCCTCAAGGATCCAAACCGACTTTTTCTGATAGATATGGGGCTTTAAATTTTTTTAAAGAATTATGGTTTTTTTTCTATGGCAGAACTTTTTTTTGAAGAATTTTTTAAGTCTGGTATTTTTTTTTAAGCTTTTTTCAGACGTAGCGCTTGTTTTTTCACATAACTCTAGTATTTTACGTCTGGTTGTAAAGAACTTTGCTATTTTGAAAAGATAATTAAAACAGCTAGAAGTTAAGCCCAAACACTTTGTGATTTCAGCTTACCGTCTGGGAAATATAAAGCATTGAAATGCGAAAATGATGATTTTTTTGCGGTATTTTTTACGAAATTTTGACTTTAAAAACTCAGGAAAAGTCGAAATAAAATTATATCCTGTGTCCTCCATTTTTTGGTGTATAGGTGCATTAATTTGGCGTCGTTTAAGGTATCGCACATAATCTATGGAGAGACTTTGGAGCTAAAATTCGTTAACCAAACCTAAAAAATGAAAAAAATGAACAAAAAATACCTTTTCGATGGTTGCGGGCCCAACTGCCAATTGGGAACAAAGCAAACGAAAAAGGGTTGTACATTTGGTACCTGATCGCGATCGCAATTCCCGATTGTCAGTTGGGCCCGCAGCCTTCCAAAAGGAATTTTTGTTCATTTATTTCATTTTTTAGGTTTTAGTTCCTGTTGGAAGCTGCCGAGCTTTTTCGGCAACTCTGACTCCACATTTACAATAATTTACTCAGTTGGTTAAGTTTACAAATGTTTTTATTTTATCGACGGGTTACAAAGGTTTTGAGGCCGTGGCCGTGAACTACGACTCGATGCGTTCGACAAATATTTGGACTGCTACGAGAACAGGGCGAAGCAATGCACTATAAGCAGTATAGTCATAGGACTACTGTGCGTGTGTACGGGAGCGTACTGAGAGAGCGATTTTTAGTATAAGAGATGATATATGACTATATGTTATTAATTTGTTAAGATCTGTTAACAGCTGCTGCTCCGAACATACTCCCCCCCGTTGAAAGACCAGGGCTTTTAACAGGATCCTCAACGGGTAGGACGCACAGCTTGTTGACAGCTCGACGAGTGGTTCCAGATGGTGTTCTCAGGATGGCAACTCGCACAGTGCCATCAGCTCCAGCAATGATGTCGATCACCCGTGCTAATGGCCACTTCAACGGCGGCAAGTTGAATACAAGTTGATACAGACGATGTCGTTGACTTGGATCGATGGCTGCGGGGTGCGCTATTTGGCACGTTGTTGGAGCAGAGTCAAATACTCCTCACTCCAACGCTTCCAAAAGATCTGCTGAGCACAGACGACTCTTTGCCAGCAATCTAGTCTGTTAAAGTTTAGATTCGTAACGTCTGGCTCGGGAAACTCCATCAGCGGACGACCAATTAGAAAATGTCCTGGTGTAAGGACGCCAAGATCTTCAGGGTTTTCTGAAATTGCGAGAAGAGGACGAGAATTTATTACAGCCTGGATTTGGCAGACCAATGTCCGCAGCGTCGAAGCCAAAGAGTGACGATCCCAGGGAGCGATATAAATGCTGCTTGGCCATCTTCACTGCTGCTTCCCAAAAGCCCCCGAAGTGGGGTGAGCGAGGCGGGATAAACTTCCAATTGAAGCCATTGTTGATGCAATGATTATGAACTGCATCACGATGCTTCTCGCTCATAAACAGCCGCCGAAGGTCCTCCAACTCGTTCCTTGCTCCCACAAAATTGGTGGCATTGTCCGACCAAATGCATCGGGGTATGCCGTGCGTGGCAATGAAGCGTTTGAGGGCACTCCAAAATCCAGCAGTTGTGAGGTCCTTCACTAATTCCAACCAAACGGCCTTTGTTGCAAAACAGATGAAGACGCTGATGTAGCATTTTGTAGGCGTTCGAGTGCGCCCATCTGGCTTGTAATAGAAGGGACCGCACTAGTCAATTCCAGTGACGGTGAATGCAGGCGAATCCTGCACTCGATCCTTCGGTAGGTCAGCCATTATGTGCTCCACAAGACGAGGTCTGGACCTGCAGCAGATGATGCATTTCCGCAACGCTCGAGAAACAGTTTTCATGCCGCCGATGGGCCAGAACTGCAAGCGATTAGATCCCAGTAGAGACTGCGGCCCAGCATGGTGATGCTTCCGATGAAAGTGCATGATGATGACGAACGTCAATGGATGATCCCTGGGCAAAATGATTGGGTGGCGTGCATCGAAGCCAAGAGTTGAGTGCCGCAAGCGACCACCAACGCGAATCAAACCAACGTCATCTATGAAAGGCGAGACAGATATAATGCTGCTGGAGGACTCCACACAGTTCCCCTTCCGCAGAGCACGGAACTCGGGATAAAGGTGGGCGCGTTGAATGATGCGACACAACAAGTGCGATCCTTTGCGAAGGTCTTCAGACGAGAGATCAGGTGACCTTTTCTTGCTGACGAACTTATGAGCATATCCAAAAATGCGCATCACGACTCCGAATGAGTTAATGTGCTTAAACGAAAGCGAGATGTCGACACGCTCAGACGACAGCAATACTCGATGCCTAATTTCCGGAAGAATGAGTTCGGGCGAACAACGTTCAGGCCAGCTACTTTTTTCGCCTGGCAAGAAAGAAGGTATATTCATCCACAACCTAGACTGCAAGAGCTCCTGAGGCGCTGCTCCCTTTGAAAGAATGTCAGCCGGGTTCATTTCAGTTGGTACATAGCGCCAATCCATGCCCCTCGTAAGTTGCTGTATTGCGGAAATCTTGTTAGACACGAACACGTTAAATTTGGATGGTTCCTCTCGCAACCAAGACAGTACCACAGTTGAATCCGACCAGCAATGGATCGGGCAGTCGAAGGTATCCATTTTTCTAATTTCGGGAAGTAAATTGGCTAACAGGAACGCTGCACATAGCTCAAGCTCAGGCACCGTGAGAGTTTTCAATGGTGAAACTCTAGCCTTCGAGCAAAGCAAATGTACCTCATCGGCGGTATCCTTAAACGAACGAGCATAGATACAAGCCCCATAGGCCTGGACGCTGATATCACAAAATGCATGCAACTCAAACCTTGCCTTAGGTTGAAGTATATAAAGCGGAAATGTAGCGTGACCCACAGTAGCGAAATCCTTGCAAAACTCAGTCCACGCCGATTCCAGTGGCTGAGGAAGACTTTCATCCCAATGCAGCTTGTCTCTCCACATGCGCTGCATGATGATTTTCGCTCTGGTCAATGTGGGTCCAATCAATCCCATAGGATCATAGCACCGTGCAATGGTTGACAACACCGAACGCTTAGTGTGCTTGCCAACACCGATTTGAGGTGCAAAAGTAAACAAGAAATTGTCCCTCTGGGGTTCCCAGATGAGTCCAAGCGCCTTGGTCACATCGCTGCCATCATCGAGCTTCAGAAAACTTTCCCTTTCTGCCTCAGGGACTTCACGAAGAACAACTCATCGAGCAGAGTGCTGTGATTGATGTCATCCGAAGATTGGGTTGCGATGAACGATGAGTTATTGAGGGCCGAGTGCCCGCCACCAGAAAGAATCCATCCTAGATGTGTCTTCTGCAGCAACGCTAGTCCAGGCGCCAGCTGAATTTGCCCCACACACAGCAACTCGAAGAAAAGTCCGGCTCCGATGAGCAGGTCAATCCGCTGTGGCTTATGGAACGAAGGGTCAGCAAGCTGGATATTCGATGGTATAGGCCAACTAGCAGTGCTAACTGTGATGCTAGGTTGATGGTCCGATATCTTCTGGGCAACGACGGCAGTGATGCTAGTGGTGAACTCTGAAATCCGCGATTTCAGAACGAGATCCACCGAGATACCTTCTGTTGGGAAGCTAGCATCTCCTATGCCAGAGACAGCGGTAAGCGATTTGGTTGTTCGAAGTTTTAGCTGATTAGCTAGACGACTAGTTATGAAATGCAATTGCGATCCCGAATCCAAAAATGCGCGACAGGGTACGAAAGTTCCAACGCTGTTTTTTACGAGAACGACGGCAGTGGCTAAAAGCACAGCATCAGATGGACTGTGGGACATAAAGGCTTGAGGCAAGGAGGGCGATACTGCAACCATGGCGTTACGACTTGGTTGTGCTGGTGAGGCTTCAATTGGAGGAACAGATTGGGCAGCCTCTGTTGGACGAATGAAATGCAAAAGAGTGTGGTGCTTCGATCGGCAAGAGCCGCAGGGACCTGATCTACAATCTCTCAATTGATGGCCTTTTCGTAGGCAATTTAGGCATAGCAAGAGCCTCTTGGCTTCCAGGCGACGATCATTCGGCGATAGAATTGCAAACCGTTGACAATTGGCAATCATGTGATGAGTACTCTGGCACAGTTCACAAGAAACTGGAGCGTTCGATGCTACAAATGTCTTTCTTTGATGCATACTCACAGTTTTTCCTGACTTGCCAACCTAACTATCTTGTCCTTGTCCTTGATCCACATTTTCAAGCGTGCGACATCTTTTTTCCAAGAATCCAGACAGTTTCTCCCAAGATGGCAGCTCTTGATTCGACGAAGACTCCTCCCATCTATTTTGAGAGGCTTTGTCCAGCTTCTGAAGAACAGTCTGCACGATAATGCAATCCGCCACTTCTTCCTTGCTTGCAAGCGACTCCATAGCACGAATATGCGATGTAACTCTGTCGGTCAATTCCCTCAATCTGCCCACCTATGCGTCAGCCTTCTCCAACCCAAATATCCCTCTGATGTGTGCCTGCAAAATAAAACGTTTATTACACTACTCGACAAAATCGAACTTTTTTTTTCCTCAAGGACCCAAACCGACTTTTTCTGATAGATATGGGGATTTAAATTTTTTTAAAGAAATATGGTTTTTTTTCTATGGCAGAACTTTTTTTTGAAGAATTTTTGAAGTCTGGTATTTTTTTTTAAGCCTTTTTTTAGAGGTAGCGCTTGTTTTTTGCACATAGCTCTAGTATCTTACGTCGGTTTGTTAAGAACTTTGCTATTTTAAAAAGATAATTAAAACAGCTAGAAGTTAAGCCCAAACACTTTGTGATTTCAGCTTACCGTCTGGGAAATATAAAGCATTAAAATGCAAAAATGATGATTTTTTTGTGGTATTTTTTACGAAATTTTGACTTTAAAAACTCAGGAAAAGTCGAAAAAAAATTATATCCTGTGTCCTCTATTTTTTTGTGTATAGCTGCATTAATTTGGCGTCCTTTAAGGTATCGCTCATTAAAATCTATGGAGAGACTTTGGAGCTGTTCGGAGCAGCAGCTGTTAATAGATCTCAACAAATTAATATCATATAGTCATATATCATCTCTTACACTTAAAAACGCTGTCTCAGTACGCTCCCGTACACACGCACATATGTCAGTAGTGCTTATAGTGCATTGCTTCGCCCTGTTCTCGTAGCAGTCCAAATATTTGTCGAACGCATCGAGTCGTAGTTCACGGCCACGGCCTCAAAACCTTTGTAACCCGTCGATAAAATAAAAACATTTGTAAACTTAACCAACTGAGTAAATTATTGTAAATGTGGAGTCAGAGTTGCTGAAAAGCTCGGCAGCTTCCAACATTTTGGTGACCCCGACGTGATTGCCGTGGACTTACAGTGCGTTAAAAGTGTTTAAACCATTCCATCAATCCAATTTTGAAGGTTTTACGTGACATTTTTGAAAAAAGTAGCGAACCAAAAGTCGTTGTGACCGACCTTAGCAGTTCTAGCGGCCCGCTATTCGTTTCGTATTCTCTTTCAACGTCAGCTTCAGCCTGCGCAACGCACTGTCGAGACTGGTTGCATAGAGTTCTAAGCGTGGTCCGTTAGTTTTCTTCGCCTCCTCTTTGGTCGTTTGCTTCAGCCAGCTCTTGTGGGAGGCTGCAGTAATAACTCTCTGAAATTCGAACTCGAAAGCAGAGTACATCTCGTGCGTTCTCTCTTTTGCATAATTGTTGGTTTTCCGTCGTCGCTTCGTTTGCGTTTACCGGTGCATACATATTGCAATATAAGTGCCAAAAAAGTGAACGTAAAGGCGTATGAACTCGTTTGAACTCGCGCGTTGCGTAATAATATTTAATTGTGATCGACTAGCACCCTCCGCGTCAACCGATTTCTATAACCGAAAACATGGGCAAGAAAAAGAATAGCAGAAAGAGTGGATCGTTTGCTATGGACAATGAAAGTGATTCTGTGACATTTGGCGCTTCTCCATCGGGTGAAAGTTTAAGTGCGAATGCAGCCAGCACCCAAGTCCCTGTTCCGGTATCTCGTATTCCTTCATGAGACTGAAGGCTAGAGCTATTTTCGATCGGCTAGAGTCCATACGCACAGAGATGGATAGTTGCGCCAAATGGATGAATACGACTTGCGAGGGCTCTTGGAATCATTGACGGAGCTTAAATAAAATTTTGTTGTGGCACACACCAGTTTGGAGGATTTGGATTTGGAGTCAATGTCCAGTGAAATTCCTGCCAAATTGGACTCGTCGATATTGTCGTTGAGGACCATTCTTCAGCGCGAGCTTGGAAGTCGCTCGAGCAATAAGCATTGTTCCACATTCAACGCCAACTCTAGTGAATCGCAGTCAATCGTCATAATGTCCAATCGATCTCGGTTACCTCATCTGGAGCTGCCCAAATTCAGTGGAATTTATACGGAGTGGGCCAATTTCTTCTCAATATTCACCGCGATTATTGACAAGGAATCTGAGCTGAGCCCTATCGAAAAGCTGCAGCATCTACGTTCCTGCTTGAGTGGCGCATCCTGAATACCATCAGCTCGTTGGAAATAAATGAAGCTAATTATATCATAGCATTAGACATTCTGAAGCGACGCTTTGATAACACTAGTCAACACGATTTTTCCTCAAGGAACAAAACGAACTTTTTCTTAAAGATTTGGGGCTTAGAAATGGTTTGATGATATATTTTTTTTCTATGGCAGAACTTTTTTTTGAAGAATTTTTGAAAACTGGTATTTTTTTTTAAGCTTTTTTCAGAGGTAGCGCTTGTTTTTTTCACATAGCTCTAGTATCTTACGTCTGGTTGTAAAGAACTTTACTATTTTGAAAAGGTAATTAAAACAGCTAGAAGTTAAGCCCAAATACTTTGTGATTTCAGCTTACCGTCTGGGAAATATAAAGCATTGAAATGCAAAAATGATGATTTTTGTTGGTATTTTTTACGAAATTTTGACTTTAAAAACCCAGGAAGCTTACCGTCTGGGAAATATAAAGCATTAAAATGCAAAAATTACGATTTTTGTGCGGTATTTTTTACGAAATTTTGACTTTAAAAACCCAGGAAAAGTCGGAAAAAAAATTATATCTTGTGTCCGTTGTTTTTTATGTATAGGTGCGTTAATTTGGCGTCGTTTAAGGTATCGCTCATTAAAATTTATGGAGAGACTTTGGAGCTAAAATTCGTTAACCAAACCTAAAATATGAAAAAAATGAACAAAAAATACCTTTTGGAAGGTTGCGAGCCCAACTGCCCATTGGGAATAAAGGAACGCGATCAGGTACCAAATGTACAACCCTTGTTCGTTTGCTTTGTTCCCAATTGGCAGTTGGGCTCGCAACCTTCCAAAAGGTATTTTTTGTTCATTTTTTTCATATTTTAGGTTTGGTTAACGAATTTTAGCTCCAAAGTCTCTCCATAAATTTTAATGAGCGATACCTTAAACGACGCCAAATTAACGCACCTATACATAAAAAAACAACGGACACAAGATATAATTTTTTTTCGACTTTTCCTGGGTTTTTAAAGTCAAAATTTCGTAAAAAATACCGCACAAAAATCGTAATTTTTGCATTTTAATGCTTTATATTTCCCAGACGGTAAGCTTCCTGGGTTTTTAAAGTCAAAATTTCGTAAAAAATACCGCACAAAAATCATCATTTTTGCATTTCAATGCTTTATATTTCCCAGACGGTAAGCTGAAATCACAAAGTATTTGGGCTTAACTTCTAGCTGTTTTAATTACCTTTTCAAAATAGTAAAGTTCTTTACAACCAGACGTAAGATACTAGAGCTATGTGAAAAAAACAAGCGCTACCTCTGAAAAAAGCTTAAAAAAAAAATACCAGTTTTCAAAAATTCTTCAAAAAAAAGTTCTGCCATAGAAAAAAAAATATATCATCAAACCATTTCTAAGCCCCAAATCTTTAAGAAAAAGTTCGTTTTGTTCCTTGAGGAAAAATCGTGTTGACTAGTGTTATCAAAGCGTCGCTTC